GTGAATTAGGATGTTATTCCATTTTTCAAATCATAGGTTGACTACAAGAGTTCAGCAAAATCAATTAAAGCATCCTGGGAGAATCACTTGGCCATATGGAATGTAAAATAAAGTATATTTTATTATTATGTATTAAAATTGTGTTCTATATTCTTGCTATCAGGAAAATTTATAGCAAACCTATGTACATTTGCACACATTTTTTTTTCCAGGAGAGTAGCCTGTTGAACATTTACCAGTATACCACCAGTATACCAGTATCTCCACCATACCATGGGGGAGAGTGGGGAAGGAGCAGAGGAAAGGGTTTAAAACCAAAGAAGGAAGTACAATGTTCTTTCATTTGGCTTTTCAGTTTGCCCCCAGCATCCACCTGCTGTGGTGTGCTCCAAGTACATGTCCACAGATGTTCATGCCAAAATATCTCCAGAAACACACAAACACCCCATCCCCACCACTAAGAAGTAAAAGCACTTTGCTTGAAAAAAATCAACTTTATTTTTTCTAGGTTAAAAAAAAAATAGAACCAGCTATTCATTTTTTGTTGTTGTTGTTGTTGAGAAAATGCTTCTTTTGGTGTTCACATCTAAATTTCTGAAAAGGTGATCTGGTTACTAAAAATAATCCCATATGCATTCATAAACCAGATCCACGTGTGACCAGCCCTTTACAAAAATTAATGACAGTTGCCACAGCCTTTAAATTCATTCTGAGCATACATTACAACATGCAGATAACAAAGAAAGAAAAACAGGTCAACAAGCTGAAGTAAACATATGGCATCAGGAAAATTAAAACCCATCTGTATAAAATAAATACAACTTTGTAATAACTGTAAAGCAAACGAAGCACTTAATGCAACAATGGCAGGTCCATGTGTAACTGTTTCATTACCCAATCATGAGATAAGTTACTGTAAAATGCAGACCCCTCACATGTAAAGAGCTTGTGCATCAGTCCTGTGTTCAACAGTTCTACACAATAAAAATAAAGCCATTCAAAATATGTGTGCATACTTTGCAACTAGAATATACTTAAAATTTCTTTGCTCTTTCAACTGTTTTAAAAAATATTAAATGTAAAAATCCTCCAATGGAAATTTTGCAGAAAACCCCCTATTTTATCTTCCATATGGCTACAGTCCCCCTCCCCAGCAGTTCAGCACCCTCAGCTGATTCCCAGGGTCCAGTTCCTAACTGTTGAGGATCAATGCAAAATGACTGCAATAAAGCACTAACCAGCGACTGCTCCAGAGAGCCCCCGGCCCCTCTGTGATCTCGAAATGTCCAACGTAGGTGGTTTTGGTCCCAAACATATTTGTCTCCACCCCCTCATACAATAAACCAGTATACTTGCTGCTTTGGACTTGGCCTTTCATGTGAACAGACATAAGGTTCACAGCACTACGTGGCAAAAAAATAAGACTAATCAGTTTTATTCATCCTTGTGGACCAGAGCGGACCCGCTCATGATGGTAACTCTGGAGTGAAATCCTGTGTAATGAAGAAAATAACTAACTCTTCCTATTTGGCAGTGCAAATAAAATTTCCTTAAATATCAAAAGAATCCAATAAGACTGTCCATGATTAAAGACTGCTATCTCTGATTATAACCAGATCCCGCTAGTTCAGAAGAGTCTTTAGGGAAGTGATTGTCAAAACGTCACTAAAGACAAATCCACAAGAAGTGAGTAACATGAACAAAGAATGAAGAGGCATTCTTAACATCAATCCACACGATATTAACACGAGAATGATGTTCTGAGGTTTGTATTGGGTGATTTCACATCTCATTTTCATTAAAGGCTTGAGTATCATTGCAATACCGCCAACTCTTGATTATTCAGGGATTCCTTTCCTAGCCCATGGACTATTTAGGCTTTTGTGTTCCCTTTTTCTGAAGCTGTCTTCCCAAATCTACTCACTAACACAGTCATAAATATATACGCAAGAGAAACTAATAAACAATTGAATTCATTGTTTTAAAATTAGCAAGCATCCCTAGAAGAACAAAAAAGTCTGATGAAAAAAAAAACCCCTCAAACTCATAAATACACATTAGATTTTTGGCTAACTATGACTTATCACTGGATTAATTTTCCAGCAATCCTTAGTTCCTTCACTGTGGGAAATTAATGGTTGACTGTAGTATTAAAATCTACTTAATAATATGACAGATATGAACTCAGAGCTATCGTTTTTAAAAAAGCTATTTAGATTCTCAACTAGCTTCTTTGCCTACCTGAAACGTCATTTTCCATTCTGTCATTTTTCTTTACCTTCCACGGTGTGTAGGTTTCTCCATCATATCTGTATTTCAACCCCAACGACAGTGTCTCACGTGAAGAGTGAACTGCCAGTGTAGTCACTTCCGTATGCACTGCACCTGCCCCCTGGCCCATAGCCCAGCAGGTGCTCCATCACTGTGACGTGTTGGGATGAGGATCCAGCAGGGAGTTCTCAACCCTCTCTGCTGTAGGAATCTAGGCAGGTCAGCTGAGACCAAGAAGTGCTGAGATTCTACAAGCTACTGGTATAAAACTGGCACGGTTTTATTTTCTTCCCCCTTAACAAAATGTGTATTCCCTAAACCTCCTTTCATCTCACTTTGCAAAGAAAGTACAAATTTGGAATTTTTATTCACTTCTGTACAGTGGCGTATTGCTGCTTCCCTGATTTGCCATAGAACACTGATTCTCTCTCCACCTTGCCTAGTGCAAGCCGCCGACCTCCAGTTACTAGTAAGGAGAGCGCTACTGATGCTCTCAAACAAGCCAGAAAGAGAACACATTGATTAAATAATCGGAAGGGGGCACGAAGATCAGTGACACATCTATTTACAACTCACAGCTCTGTTTTCAAAAGTGAACGCACGTATCTATTGGTATTTGTCACTCTACAGACTGTTGAAGTGACTCTGTGCTTGAAAAGTAAAGCGTCTTACAGAATAGATGGTTTAACGTGTACAGTATTTTAACAATATCACATTCCTTTGGAGCACAGTGATGGCAAAAGTGGCTCTGAACCGCATTTATGTATGCATGGATGCCTCTCTCTTTTATCTTTTTGATAGGAGAACTGGCCACTCCTACCCGTGGCTTGCTTTAGCAATGAGGAAGAGACCTATTTAGCTAGGACTGTGCATGCCATATTTGACAGTGAGCACCTTCTCCCCCAGATGGCTGACTAATCTCTCAAATGAACAATTTCAATTCAGCCTGTAATCTAACAGCGTTTGCTGGACCTCAAACAGAAGCATTGTTAAGCTTCTATCTGGCTTCCTATCATCATCCGTGCCTCTTAATCAAGATTGGTTTCACCTACTCACTGTCACCGTAAAACACCCAACAAAATGCTTAGATTTCAAAAAAAATTGCATCTTGTGACGACCCCAACCAAAGCACACACATTAGCACTGGCTTCTGCATTTTACCAGTAGCAGCATAATATGCAATGAGGTATTTCATTAACACATTATTCTCTTTCCTATGTGCACGGAATTAACCTGGAGATGAAGCTGCTGTGGGCTTGTATTTGGTGTTGCTTTACCTTTCCCACATAACTGGGAGAAAATTCACATCTTTTCAGTTTCCTTTTTTTTTTTTTTTTTTGGTTTATTTAAAAATAGAAAACATTAGCCTTTATTTTTATTTTCTGGCCTACTTCTCAAAGTTGCCATTTGTAGGACTAGTGACAACAGGGGCATCTACAACGGTCATTATCACAGAAAACTGCCACTGACTTACTAGGATCTTCAGAGTCTTACAATCCCAAACCAAAACACCAACTCTGTCTCAACACTGGGAGGGCAGGTGAGGGACAGATGCAGTCCCAGCACTTTCTGAGAAGAGTCGGTTCTACTGTGAGGTAAATCACATGAACAGAGAGTGGAGGAAAAGTGTTCTCTAGAAATAGAAACGTGACTTTATCCTCTTTAAAAGCAATCGTAAGAGATTGGGAAGCCTTTTGTGTGGGTCCGTCTCCCGGTTACACCACCCTGACATGGGCAGCAACTCGAGGTGATGATGGAACATAGGTTTGGGGGTGCCATGTGAGAACTTACCACATTTTAAGCCTATGTCTGGCTCTAGCTCTTATTTTTCTAATAAAACCCCTATCTCACCTCAAACTGATCATTTAAATGTTTTACATTAATTTGTTCCAGCCACCCCCAAATACATTTGGCGCTAAAAGCCAAAATGGGCGGAACAAAGCCTCTGAGCTGGACAGAAGCCTCTGGTGGGTGTGGCGCTCCGTGCAGGGGGGGCGCCCAGGGACACACGCAGAGACGAGACAGCCTCTCAAGAATCCCACTCACTGATTATGCTTACATTTATTTTCAGGCTATATTACTAATCCTTTGCTATATATGTATCTGATAAAAGTGCATTTGGTAGAAGACAATTATCAACCTATGATATGCCTCTATATAGAGAGAGATATCAAGTCACCCCCCCCCCCATTTAAGGGAAAGCACTAGCGCATGTAAACATGATGTTGGACTGAGCTAGCCTTTTTTAGGAACTCTAGTACCGGAACGTGTCCAGTGGACACTGCTTCTCCCCCACGGGCGTGCCTGACACTGGAGTGTCACTGCGAACCACAGGGGACCTGTCCTTGAGGGTGCCGCACAGCTCCCCTCGGGCTCCTAGTGACACAGCAAGAGTTGGTGGGAATGAGGGTGCTCTACAGCTCTATCCTACTCGAGAGAGCTAAGAGGAACGGAGTCCAACTCTCTGAGCTTGAACTAGATTACCAAGTATATCTGGTGGCAACAGAATTTCTCTTGGATAGTCTTCTAGGATAATTTTATGATTTCCTCTTCTCTGAATGTGATGTTTGCTTAAGTGTGTGGTAGAGTGTATCTTTTTAAAACATGAAAGGTCCTTAAAACATATTGGCAGGTCATTATATTACTGATCCTCATTTTAGTGGAGTTTTAAGATATCCCAAAGGGGGATAAATAATCCATCCATTGAATTTCCTTTGCTTTTTTTTATATTCTGATTTGCACATGTAAAATAATGCACACTTATGAAAGTCTGAACTCCTATGGTGACCTTGACAAGTCCAAGTCAATTCCTAAAACAGGCAATGGTAAAAATACTGGATGATGTTATACCACATATAGCCTGACAAAAATGCAAAAGACTGTATGAGAAATATCCACATATTGCTGAGGGTCATCTCCCTGGAAACAGCTTCCTTATGGCCCTTGGGTGGTGGAAAAGCCCCTAAAAGACAAGACAGAAATATTAATTTTTTTACTGTGGTGGTAAGGTCTCCTGGAACAAAAAGTGAATATTAGTTTACTTAGAATTTTTGTTGTTTGTTTTTTAAAGCATCTTCTGTGACTTCCCATTGTTCCTGAAGAGACATCTCATTTGCAATACAATTTTCAAACTGCTGAGCCCTTTCCTGCCTCTGAACATTTGCGTTTGTTCTTCCTGCCTGAGATGCCAGCTCCTCATGTCAGCGAATGGCAGGCTCATCTGCATTCTTACAGTATCAGAAAAAATACCGTCCCCCTTCCCCCCGCCCCAGTCAGTCACACTCAGCGCCACGTTTATTTCCCTCTTGGCACTTTCCAGGATCTGTAATGATCCAGATCTAGCTTTTCTTTCTTCTACAGACTTATTTACTCTCTGTCTCCTTCTGGAATATAAGCTGCATGAGAGCAGGCACTCTGGCTTCCTTGTTTCCACTGTAACCCTAGAGATTTCTACAGTGGCCAGGACACAGGATGTGTGAAATTGATATATATATATATACACATATATATATACATTTTAAATATTTATTTATTTGACAGAGAGCAGGAGAGCGAGAGAAAGCACAAGCGGGGGGGGGGGCGGGGAGGGGAGCAGCAGAGGGAGAGGGAGAAGCAGACTCCCCGTGGAGCAGGGAGACTGATGCGGGGACTCAATCCCAGGACCTGGACATCATGACCCGAGCTGAAGGCAGACGCTTAACCAACTGAGCCACCCAGGCGCCCCAAAATGGATTTTAAATAATTTCTGAAATGACATAACTAACACTAATTCCTCCATTTACAACTTAAATGGTTTTGCCACAAAAAAAGTGGTGGTAAATCACTGGTATTCTTTTCAAAAGGTAATATTATTTATGAAATATATCTTAGGAATTAAAAGGAGAAACACAAAGTAAACAGATGTCTTTAAATTCTTTTCCAGAAGGGAAAGATAGACCACTTCAGAGCAATATTACCTAAGGTCATCTTGATAACACTTCAGCATTTCAAATAGTCTTTGTCCTTGCTGATAATCCTTTTGGGTAAGCTGATTCATGCGGGGATTTGCTTCTCACAAGCAATTTACAGAGAACACTTTCAAGTTTCAAGGTCTATTATACAAATGGCTTTCTTAAAAAGAGACTTCCATTATTGTTGTTACAATTCAGGCTAACTATCATAAAGCAAGAGATGAAGATTGAAAAAGAGGAGAGATCCTGTTGACTCTTAATTACCTCATGCCTTCTTAAGCATCTATCCTATTTTATCTTTAAAGAAATTTTGAGAGTAAGTCCAAGGACTGCACAAGGCAGAGAGGGGCATCCTGTTCAATGAGTCTTACTAAGAATTCTAGAGACACGCATAGCGTCCAACCCCTGTCATATGAGTATGCACTAGTCCACAGCCCTGGGGTCAGAACGTTAGGATCAGGAAGGAATCCTGTTGTGGGTAATGTGAAACAATCCTAAACACAAAAACAAAAGCAATTAAGGGTAATTAACAGTATCAGCCTTTGCTCACCATTAGGCCTTGAACAGTCTGATTTACCATGAACGTTAATTCTGAACCAAAAAAATCTAAGTGGGAAGAAAATAGCACTTTCTGTTAATCTAAAATCTCACAGCCATCATCACACCTAAAACAACTTTCTCTTCCCCTTTTTCTTTTCCTATTGTAGGTTCCAGAGAACAAGCCTACAACACACATAGTTATGTATGAAAGCACTTTGGTAACGCCTGGCATTCTACCAACGCTAATTTCCTCCTTTCCTAACTTCCTTTCTTTCTCCCTCCCTCCTCCTCCCTTCCTATGTCTGACTGTATTGCAGTTTTCACAGAAGGTACAGAATATTGAGTGTAGATAAGGGACCTTGAGGTAAATTGACTTTTTTCTCTCAAGGAGAAAAGTACAAGGTTGCATCTGTGAAAACTTAAAAAGTAAGCTTTAGCCCTGTATGTAAAGAAAAGAATAAGCATGTAAAAATGCAGTTCAGAATGATCTCAAATGACTGCAAGATGATGGTACTATTTAAACAATCACGTACAATGCCAAACCATAAATATTTTTTGCTATTTCATAAAACAACCTGCGTAATTGTACACGTACGACTGTACTCTTCTACATACTGTGTACTGTCTTGAATTAGTTCCATTTGTACAACATTTTACTCATCATGTGATCTTGCACACTGGCTGCTAAAGTAAGGGCCTGAATAAGTTTAACACTAACACTGTCCTTATGAATATTCTAAGCTGGAATTCTTAAATATAGAAATACTTTGATTCCTTTAGGGTATCTGAAGAATGGAAAAATGGTTATCTCCCCTAACGTGTATCTTTGGAACTATCACCAACTTCAGAAACATACGTAATAGGATACTGTGTACCTGTTTCATAAAAATGTGATAAGAGCGCCTCTTTTTCAACAAAACGTTGATAGAGCCAATCAGCAAGGCCATCCGTCTCCAGGGGTACATCTTTGATTGGAAAGATCCTATGAAGAGTTAGAAAAAAAGCAAAAACTACTTTAATTCAGAAATCAAAATCATTCAGAAGCACAATTTAGGTTTAGTGACTGAAAAGGTGAAGAAAGTTATGGAATCACCTGTAGCTTTTACAAGGGTTCATTTCTGCAGCTTCTCAGGTCATCTCGGTTTTTAAAAAATTGATTATACAACAGAGTTCATTTATTCATTCATTCAAACATTTACCAGCCTATTACGTTAGGTCCAAGTGCCAGATGATGAGAAAATATTAATAAATTGCCCTGTATCTACAAATAATTATTGAGAAATAACTGTCTTCCCAAGCTTGTGGGTTTAAGAAGAAACTGTTCAGAAAAGATGGAATTTTAAAATGCAGCTACTGGGATGTCTGAGTGGCTCAGTCCATTGAGCGTCTTGGTTTCAGGTCTGGCCAGGATCTCCCAGTGGGGAGATCGAGCCCCGGGTTGGGCTCCATGTTCAGCAGGGAGTCTGCTTTCCCGTTTGTGCGCATACAGCCTCTCTTTCTCTCTCAATTAAATAAATAAATCTTTAAAAAAAGAATAAAATAAGATAAAATAAAGATAAAACAAAAAACAAAATAAAATAAAATAAAATGCAGCTACTTTAGGACACATTTAGAGTAGTTGGATGCTAAGCCAAATAATGCATCTTAGCAATGTTCTTTTGGAGGAAATGTCTGTGAACCAGACAGAATCTGCCCAAATTGGTGCCTAAATTGTATCAGAGAGAGAGGTTTCCTGAGCGGGGCCGCCTCTTTTTGGAGCGCAAATGTGCAGATTGTGCGAATGCATTCCGACTCACCAGGAAATGGACCGGGATGATTAGTGATACACATCCGCTGGCCATGAGGGCAGAAAAGGGCAGCTCGAGTACATACTATGTATTTGCTGATGTTGAAGCTTCTTGTTTCCCAGTTTTGTGGGGGAGGTTTCTTAATTTTATAAAGGGAGACAGTTTTAAAAGCCTGCAAAAGGTTTGTATGAAAAAATAGCAGTCCCTGTCCCACTGCCCGTTGTTTACCTCTTTGAACCAAGGATCTTGATATTTATTGCCATGTTTCCTCTTCAGTTTTAGGGCCAATCTACTGACTTCCCACTATGGAAGATGAGGAGCAAGTGCCTTCTTCCCTTTCCCACCACACATTGATATCCTTCCCATCTTCCCAATGCAGTTGTATCCTAATTTTAATGAGCAGAGTACTAGACATTTACATTATTATAATCATGTATATATATTCAAAGCTAAGCCATGTAATAAATCAAGGCTACTCTTCCTTTCCTGCCCAATTTTTGTTCTCCCTGAACTCAGCAGTTACATCATTTTCTCTGTACACATAACTAATTCAACCATAAGCTCGTTTTTTTTAAAGATTTTATTTATTTGACAGAGAGACAGAGACAGTGACAGAGGGAACACAAGCAGGGGGAGTGGGAGAGGGAGAAGCAGACTTCCCGCGGAGCAGGGAGCCTGATGCGGGGCTGGATCCCAGGACTCTGGGATCATGACCTGAGCCAAAGGCAGACGCTTAACGACTGAGCCACCCAGGCGCCCCACAACCATAAACTCTTGTCCGTCTAGAGTCAATTCTCTAGAGTGTGTCTGCAAACTCTTTCTTAAAGGGCCAGAGAGAACGTATTTGGACTGGGCAGGCTTTATGGTACCTGTGTCAACTATTCAACTCTGCTCTGTAGTGTGGAAGCAGCCTTAGACCATGTATGAATACATGGGAATAGTTACGTTCAAATAACATTGTATTTAAACAACAGGCAGTGAGCCAGGACTGACTTGGGCTCTAATCTCTTAAGGCGTTTGTGTGCATCAGACATTCTTTTAATTTCATCTTCCTGAATAAATTTCACCCACACTGTAGGATTTGTTGCCTGTAGTTTTCATCCTGCAAAGACCTCTTACTTTGTCCTGGCGATTCTCCTAAAATACATTTAATATTTCCTACATCTCATGTCTTCCTTTTTCTGTATTTACTCTGCATTTTGATGGAGCACATCCTCCAGCGATTTCTGGAGAAAGAGTACTTGAAATCTGGCCAATGTCTTTTCGGCCAAAGTCTTTTTTCTGTCCTCACACCTGGTTGATAATTTGACTAGATAGAGGATTCAGGGTTGCAATTCATTTTCTTCCATCTCTGTCTCTGTGTCCTCCTTTCTAGGAGATTCTTATTTAATTTCTAAACTTTTTTTTAATGAATTTTTACTTCTTTTCTCATATTTTTAATTTCTAAGAGCAGTTTGAATGTTCCTTTTTTATTGTTTTATTGTTGTGTTTGTTACAATATTATAATATTGTTGTCTTATTGTTATAATATCTCTATGAGAATTAGAATGGAAATTTTAAAACACGCATGAAAGTAGAGAAGAGGGTTAATGAACTATTAGGATTTTTGGCAGCTGTGCTTTCCCTGCATCATTCCTCCAAGTCACTTCCTTCTGTTTGTTTTAGTCTCCATATTTCACAGCAGAGGCCGATCAGATGACCAAATTATCCGGTGAGTCTTTGTTGTTGACTCACATTTACCGACGGGATTAAACAGCGGATTGAAGGCTCTCAGCCTGTGAGTGCCGTTTGTTGACTGGGAGCTACGCTGAGGATTATCTGGTTGGGCCATTTAAGTTGGTCTTTCCTCTTGAATTTGCCATTGCCGCAGAGGAAGATCCTCTAGTACCCTGCCCAGAGAATGGAAGCCTAGTTGTTGGCTTTCTGGTAGCAGAGTGAGACAGCAGGGCTGGGGGTCTAAGCACTCGGCGCCCTGTCATCACTTAACCGTGCCGTTTTCATTATGGGACCTTTGCCTCAACTGTGCCAGGCGCCTCTGAGTCTAGAGAGTCTCTGGCTCCCTCTCCAGAGTAAGCCCCCAGTCCCCTGTCATGGCAGGGAACGAAGAATCCCCCAGCTGTGGGATGGTGGGTAGGCGTTCTGGGGATCTGAGTTCTTCAACAGATTTCAACCAGACCCAAGTGTAGCAACCCTTTCAACCCCTTTTCCATGGGCACTGATCCTGCCAGTTTTTCAGTTCTGTGGTATAAATCAGGTTGGCTCCTGGTTTTCCCTTGCTGGCTTAGGGTTCTGACTGCTCAATCTGTTTTCCAACTTCCTGACTTTTGTTACTGTTGCCTTTCCTATTGTTTTCCTCATTCTTGTGGGTTCATACTTTAAAGAAACCTCTTCAGTTTCATTCTACTGGAGTTTTGGAAGGGCATGAAAGTTGACATGAGTTTGGGCCACCATGTTCTTTAGGAAGCTGTCCTGTTATTTCTGAAAAGTCTAAGATGATTTTCTATCCTTGGCCAGTGTCTACTACCTGCCATTCTACAAAGGGGCTTATATTACTATTTCAAGTTTAGGCAAAATGTGTGTCAGTCACTTAGTAAGGATTTGAAAATTATAATCATGCATACCCATTATAAAAACATTAAACAGCTTCTACAGTTTATCAGTAGAACACAATGTCCAGACGAGTCAAGTAGTACAAAGGATTCCAAATGACCAGAATGCCCATGCTCAGACTCCTTCAAAGGCATCTTAAAAATTAGTCATGTAGCATAGTCATTTGCATACAAAACAATCAGAAGGAACATTATTTATGAATCGCATTATAATCAGATCCCTTTCTCTTGTTACTTAAACACTTAAATACCAGATCTGGGGTATTTTAACACTACAATATAAGTATCCGTGAGCAGGAAAAAGAAGAGAGGAAACGAAGGAAAAGTACGGTATGAAAAAAAATCTATTAAAAATCAATTTCAGGAAATCACAGTATTGATTAAAAATTTTGCTTTCAAAAATTTGAAAAGGATGAAAGGTAACCAAAATATAGTTTTATTTACACAGAAAGTAAGTTTCCCAATCTTAGTCACCTTTCTATTCCCCTAAGTATAGTACTACATTGCTCTAAGGCAGTAATATAGAAATGTTCTGGTTTATTAAATATTTTAATGGGGTAGGAGATTCTAAGGTCCAGAAACTTCAAGTTTCAGCTTGCTACTACAAAATCCCCTACCAGAATTAGATTTTCTTTTGCTTTGAAAGGGCTAACCAGAAAAAGAGGAATTAAAGAACGTCATGACTTTTAAAGAGAAAAAGTACTTGAAATGCTTACACTACATAAAATCAACCCATAGGCTAGTATTTCTTAGCCCCTTTAATGCCTATCCTCCTAGGTAATTGGAAGATCTCTTTCAAACTAAAAAGGTTTACCTCTGCATTTTCTCATGTTCCCATATGCCTCACTAAAGTGAGAGTGGGACTTCACGGCTGAAATTCCCTTCCACAAACAGTAGAGTTTTTGTTTTTGTTTTTGTAATATGTGAAGAGTCTTTGCTTTTTAGGCATAATTAAAATAATCCCAGAAGGTAGTGTGGCATAGTGATTAAGAGTACAGACTCTGGGACAGACTGCCTGGGGTTGAATTCTGGCTCTATGGCACTTGCTGACTATGTGACCTGGGGAAAATGGTTTAACCTTTGTACAGCTTAGTTCCCTCATCTGTAAAACAACTTACAAAGTTGTTATATGTGTATACTCCTGGGCAGAGGGTGGTGGCATAACTTGGCATCAGTAGTGATGGTGGTGGGTGTTAAATGGTAAGTACTGTTGTGCTTTCAAGTTTTCTGGGTTCAGCAACAGCTGTAGTGACTAGACTAGACCTGAAGTTGTTATAAGGGTTTGACAATCCATGACTATTTTCATATAGCATAATACTCTACACAGATAGTCTGTGTGGTGTGTGTATTTCTATACCAGTGAGGCAACAATGAAGCCAGCCTCAAGCCAGTCACATAAAAAGATAAATGTTGTTACCAAGTACTACAAAGGTGAATTCCTGACAGAGATTCTCAAGACTCTTAATATTAATACTGATATAATCAGAAGGGCAGAGACATGGAGACACAATTTCAAATGAGGAGGCCCAGGGCTATTTAAACAAGCTCGTCTTTCCATTCCTTCAAAGGGTAACTTCTATTCTTTG